AAAATAAAAAAATGTCGGTAACTACCGCCACTATAGGATCCCCTTAACACTTAAAAAAAACGTCAGGACGAAAACAACCCACGTATGCGGCGTAAAGGTGCCAAAAAAACCTATGCGGGCGAAGGGTTAATTACTAATCACTGCTAACTATTACATATAAATATAATGACAAATATAAATATTTCAAACTGCTACGTATATAAATCCAGCCAATCGTTATATATAAATAACTTCTAATTATTACACATAAATGTATTAATTAACTCACAGTACTCACACGCATACTTCAATTACTTCAATATCTATGATGAATCTCGTATGAGCTAGTGATATGAGATAATATTACGATCATATGGAGTTTAGTTGACGGACCTATCGTTTATCATTATACCGACGCGATAATTTTATGTATCATGTCCACCATGTCCACTCTGACGCTACGATCGCACGGAGTTAACTTAACGGAACTGTGACTCATTCGCTGTTTATCGTTTCTCAACATGATATATCATATCCGATATACTACATGTGCATGCAGTGGCGGATTTTTTATTGAGAGCAACAAACGCGTGTGATATAATTACAATTGCATCTAACAGAAATACGCTAATTGAGCGCCGATCCCTTCGAAGGAATCGTAAAGGTCATTTTCCCGTGACTGTATCATCGGAATCTGTCCTCACCCTACTCACTTACAATGGAGACTGTACCCGCATCGACCTCCGACGGCTCCGACGCAGCGTCGACTACAAAACGGCGTCGATCGCGAACACCCGCGGCAACCGACACGTTCTGGCGGTCGCCCGCCACTCCAGTCGGCACTCTCGACAACAATTTCCGTTCGTCGCACACTTTTATCGAGTAAATTCCGCGATTAAGTGGAGGACCGTCCGCGCTACGTGCTCCGAACCGACGCGCTCCATAACTGTCATGGCGGCCGCGCAAACGCGCGCGCCCGTGAGCCGTTCGAACTGAAACAGTTTCAAGTACGGACGTTTAGGTGATTACAGTGAGACTTTGGCGCTTTTCACGCATGTTTTACACAGCTATAATGTACTCGTTATTTTCTATAGAGATTTAAAGTGATACGGAAGCATCTATTTGCGAGACACGCGAAAAGGGACGGAGTAATCTCGATCAAATTTCAAATTGGCGGGTACGTGAAGTATAGTAGTGCGACGTCACGTGATGTGACGTAATAGGAAAATGCCGCCACCGCCGCCGTATTGTTAATGTATCTACATACTTGTTTCAAATTTTGTTTATAGAAAAAAAGGCCATTTTTATGTCTATCTTTAAACTTATGTATGTCATGCCGTAGATTTTTTTATCTGCGAATATATTATAAACATTATTCGCCTCTTTTCGTTCTTTTCGCTTATATAAGCTATCGCTCGAGCTGTATTCTTTATAGAAAAAAATTTGTAACTTTAGGAAAAAAAAGTTAAATAAGTTTAAGTTTGTGTTTTAAAAATAACTATTATAGTTAAAGTTAAAGATTAATTTATTTTAAATTAACTAAGCTAATTTTAAGTTAACTAATTAATAACTAATTAACTTATTGTTAGTTACTACCCAATCTTGCAAATGTATAATTATATATATTATAGGGTTGTGTGGGGTGATGTGCAACATGGGGTGATATGCAACGTTTCCGATTCCTGGGGGCTTATTACGGTTCTTGAAACGAGGTGAAAGTTACAAAAGTGAGGAAATTCACTAGGGTATCTATGATTTTATTGGTCAAAATCTAGTAAATCTGTTCACTTTTGTAATTTTCACTTCGTTTCAAGAACCGTAATCGACCCCCTGGTCTGCATATCGACATTTGACAGAACCGCATCTATTTGTGTCAATAGTACCTTGTTTTAGATAAATAACTCGCGAGATGGCACGCACCCTGGTTTGCTTGTACGAAAAGCGAGTTAAATTTTTCGAGCTCAATGTAATTTTCGCTTTTCACATTCATAGTGATTTCGTGAATTAGTTTTAGGTCATCTTATAGGTAAATATTTTTATATTGTTAGTTTTTTAAGTACTTTTGATAATCCACAGCGATTTTGTGATTTTCTTACGTTGTGTTGGTGTCACGCCAGTCCGCGCAAAATAGCGTGTTTGGGGTGATGTGCAACACTCATTTTTCGCTAGTTTATCGCTATTTTACGATGGAACATGTGTATATGAAGTGTTTTAATGCATTTTTCAATGTGTTTAGTCATTATGTCACGAAAGTATAAAAATAAGGGTATCGCTGTTCCGGTCAATTGCGAGCTAATTTGGGCAGCAATAAAATATCTGAAAGGCGATCATCCGGTTGCGTTTTTCCTTTCATTATATTAATTTTTAAGCGATAAATAAATAAGAAATTAAATAAAAAATGATTTTTTTTTGTGAAATTTCCATTTGTCAGAGGTCGATTACAATACAGTGAAATTTTTTGTTCACCAGATTTCGATTAATTTGTATTTAAGAAGCCCAAATTTAACATTTAAGTCGATTGATGCCAATATTCATGCATTTTTTACCTTAATTTTACCTGTGTTGCACATCACCCCAAGAAAATTTGAAAATGCTAAAACAGACGTTTTTTTGAAAACTCGAAAAATTTTTAGGAAAAATTTAAAATTCTGAAAATCTAATCACGCAGAATTGTAGTATTTTCCTTCCTCTACATTATACAGCCATGATATATTCAAGAATTTGATTTTTGGATATGTTTTCCGAGCAACGCGTGAACGTGTTGCACATCACCCCACATAACCCTACTAAAATAAATCTAAGAATATTTTTTAGTATATCTAAGAATTTAGGTTACACCTTCCCAATTTTCTTTCAAGATTTTCTTTTGAGATTAAAAATTCTATATGAAATGGATGTGAGATGATCCGCAGCGACATGAAAAAGTAGAATTTTTCTAATCGTAAAATGGAGTGACCTTGGCAGCATTCAGAAGTAGAAATCGGACTATGTGGCGCCATCTGGCGTTTCTCATTCTAATCTCAATACTCGCCGAGAGGGCATTAGTGCACGGATTACGGATCTTTCTTTAAGGGGATGCTGGAGTCGCGGGCGAACTAGGGATCCTCCAGAGAGGGATCGGACTAACCGTCGCCATTTGTCTCAAAACCGGAAGTGGTATATTCAGCGGCAAAACTCAAACGTGTTTCAATGCAAATGTGTATATTTTATATAATTAGACATGACAGACACGCGCTACGCGCGTGTTATTTAGCTTTAATTATACAATTCCTATTACATTATACTATTAACGAATTAATACACAAACTGTCAAAATAAGTAATGATAGATGTTTACGAAAAAAGCAATCAGCATCGCGGAAAAATGTCAACAATGAAACCTTACATGACTTTTTTATGAGTGAATTATTCTTATACAATGAGAAAAATAAAATATTTCATATTTAAATACCGAAAATGTTGTACAGTAATTCTTACAGTTATAGTTTATTTACAAATAATAAAATATAAACAAATTCTTTCAGTGGTAATTGGTGCGCAAGAGTTCCTTTCGTAAAAAATATTTAATGATTCGTAAAAAATATATATTGATGACAAATTGTAATTTTACATGTATACAAGTTGTAATTTTTTATTCCGTTTATTGGCTGCAATAAGACTCTTTTTCAAAGCTATCCTAGATTTTTCCGATTTGTCATATAATTTTTGTAATCTATTAAATCGTTGTTCAAGTGTTTCTTCGAAAGGCGTTTTTTCCTTCAGTTCTTCAATACTTCCTTCAGTTTCCTGAATTTCTTCTGAATTGTTGTGAACATCACCTGCACATAAATTTTTTGAAATAGAAAACTGACATTTGGTCGCAGAAGAAAAATTAAATACTGGTTTCAAAAGAAGTCTTATTAAAAAGTAATAAATATTTATTTTTAGCTTAAAAGTACGAATTTTCGACTAATTTATGATAAAATGATAATTTAAGTATTGTATTTCATTATTTATACAAAAAGCGGTATATTTATTATATTTAAAATAGTTTTGAACACAAGTTCTATAGTTCAATGTCGGTTAATAATTGAAAAAAGTATACAAAATTCAAGTATTATAAACATTAAAAAATTAAAAATTTTAACATATAATTCTTTACTTTCTTAAAAAATGTTTTTATATTATCACTAATAAATACTGTAATGTAATGTAATGAGATCTTACCATTATTTATGGGTCTTTCTTGTGCTTCTTGCGATGTATTATTAAAATTTTCATGTTCATTTTCAGGAATATTCTTTGGTTCATCTTCTTCTTGTACAGATGTATGTATCAGACGATCACCAAAAATAGTTGGAACTGCTGTAGATTTCAAGCGGCGTTTACCTCCCCGTGTTTTTTCCCACATCTCGTCTGAGAAATGAATCTGACAAAAATATTGAGTAATTTAATTAGAAAAAATAAGGAATAACAATAAAATAGATTATTTTTGTGTATTAAAACTTTGTTATTTTTGTTAATTATATTTAGTCCTAAAAATAATAAGTAATAGTAAAATTAATAGTAAAAATGATAAGTAATAGTTAATACTTATAGTAATCTTTTTTATAAAAAATGCAAAGAACATTAACTTTTAAATAAGCAAAATTGATTTTAAAACTTTTCCTTATCATTAATATCCATTTCTACCAATGCAGATTAACTTTGATTTTGGCTTAACTTTTATCTTTCTCTAATTTCAAGAACTAGAAAAAGATAAAAAGTAAGTTAAACCGTGATTAAAGTTAATCTATAATGGTAGAAATGGACATAAGTCAAATAAATATATTATGTTTGTACTTACTGAACACAATGTCGAACTCACTCCAGGAACCCAGTCTGCACGGTTAACATTAGCAATCCATACTTTTCTTCTTTTCTCTTCTCGTGGGAATCTGCACATTTGGAAGCCTTTGCTCGATGAGTTCGTACAGTAATCTGCACTGCAACCCGTCATATTTCTTTTTCTGTAAATAAAATTTACGTATTTATAAATAATTATATATGTTATGCGGAAAATGACAGGCAGCTTTCTAAATCGTACACCACCGTTCTTTCGTCAGGCGCGTAGATGAGAATAGCCTAATCGTCCTACAGAAACAGAGCAACGTTTCACGTGAAATAATGAGTGCGTTCAGCCGATACTCCGCTAGCCTAGCAATCGTGAGCAGTCGCTCGTTTTCACTCGTTTCCTCTCCTTTGACCCAATGGATTAAAAGGAGAGGAAACGAGCG